AGAGGGGGTGGCCGGGGTGGGGGGGGGGGGGGGGGGGGGGGGGTTCCCCCCCCCCCCAATGCACCGGGTCTCCCAGCTGCCAAGAAGCTCCCGGTTGGTTGTCAGTAGGCTCCAGAGTGAACGCCCTCAGGACCTTGCCCCAGTTTGTCCCCGTCTCCAACGATACCTACAAATCCGTCAGCTTCTGAAATCCCGTCCCGTGTCCTCTGGGGTTGTGTGTGTGTCCCCTCCACGGGTGACGGTGGCTCTTATAGGGCTGGGCAGGACACAGCCCGCCCCTATAATTGCACAGGCGTGAGCTGGGCTGGGCGGGAGGATGGGTGACGGGGACACGGAGCGATGGTGAAACACCACCTGGTCCTTCTGTCCTCTGTGTCCCCGTGTCCCCCCCCATGATGCCCATGGCTGCAATGTCCCCTGTGCTGCGTCCCCGTGGTACCCGGGTGCCCCGGGCCACCCCTGTCCCCGCGATGTCCTCTGTCCCATGACGCCGTGTTGCCCCATGGGGTGGTCCCCACCATGACCCTGTGCCCTGTCCCCAAAAAAATGGTGTGTCCCGCCTGTCCTGACCCTGAGGTCCCATGTGCCCCATCTCCATGGTCCCACGTGCCCTGTCCCCATGGTGCCCGTGTGCCCCATCCCTGAGGTCCCAAATGCTCCGTCCCGGAGGTCCCATGTGCCCTGTTCCCATGATGCCCATGTGTCCCATCCCCATGGTCCCACCTGCCCCATCCCCATGGTCCCACCTGCCCTGTCCCCGTGGTCCCACATGCCCCATCCCCATGGTCCCACATGCCCCGTCCCCATGGTGCCCATGTGTCCCATCCCTGAGGTCCCACGTGCCCCGTCCCCATGGTCCCACATGCCCTGTCCCCATGGTGCCCATGTGCCCCATCCCTGAGGTCCCATGTGCCCCGTCCCTGAGGTCCCACCTGTCCTGTCCCCAAGGTCCCATGTGCCCCATCCCCATGGTTCCACGTGCCCTCTCCCCAAGGTCCCACATGCCCTGTCCCCATGGTGCCCATGTGCCCCATCCCTGAGGTCCCATGTGCCCCGTCCCCGAGGTCCCACATGCCCTGTCCCCGTGGTCCCACCTGCCCCATCCCCATGGTGCCATGTGCCCTGTCCCCATGGTGCCCGTGTGTCCCATCCCTGAGGTCCCACCTGCCCTGTCCCCATGGTCCCACCTGCCCTGTCCCCATGATGCCCATGTGTCCCATCCCCGAGGTCCCACATGCCCCATCCCCATGGTCCCACCTGCCCTGTCCCCGTGGTCCCACGTGCCCTGTCCCCATGGTGCCCGTGTGTCCCATCCCTGAGGTCCCACCTGCCCTGTCCCCATGGTCCCACCTGCCCTGTCCCCATGATGCCCATGTGTCCCATCCCCGAGGTCCCACATGCCCCATCCCCATGGTCCCACCTGCCCTGTCCCCGTGGTCCCACGTGCCCTGTCCCCATGGTGCCCGTGTGTCCCATCCCTGAGGTCCCACCTGCCCTGTCCCCATGGTCCCACCTGCCCTGTCCCCATGATGCCCATGTGTCCCATCCCCGAGGTCCCACATGCCCCATCCCCATGGTCCCACCTGCCCTGTCCCCGTGGTCCCACGTGCCCTGTCCCCATGGTGCCCGTGTGTCCCATCCCTGAGGTCCCACCTGCCCTGTCCCCATGGTCCCACCTGCCCTGTCCCCATGATGCCCATGTGTCCCATCCCCGAGGTCCCACATGCCCCATCCCCATGGTCCCACCTGCCCTGTCCCCGTGGTCCCACGTGCCCGTCCCTAACGAACCGGTGGCGCAACACCGGTCGGCCCGCCACGGCGACGCCGGCGCCGGGGGCCGACGCTCTGCCCTGTCCCCCCCTCCCTCCTCGCTGCCACCACAGGGACCAAGGTGTCCTGAGCATCTTTATTCCCAAGGGATGTCACCGTCCCCAGGGGGATGTCACCGTCCTGGGTTGGTGGTGGGGAGATGTCACCATCACTGGGGTGAGGATGTCACCTTCCCTGGGGGGGTGTCACCTTCCCTGGGGGGATGTCATCATCCCCGGGGGGATGTCACCATCGTTGGGGTGAGGATATCTCCATCCCTGAGGAGGTGTCACCCTTCCCGGTGGGGAGGGGAGGATGTCACCGTCCCCAGGGACGAGGGGGTT